ATGAAGAAATTGAACAGCGCAGGCCCCAGGACCGAGTCCTGTTCTAGATCATTTAAGAAGGAAGTAAAGAAAGTCATCTATATGATAGCCTAATAGAGATTCTAACTGTCTGGCCATATGCAAATCCAAGTATGTTGATCTTATTAGCATAGACTATATTTTGAGCCCAAATTTCTCAGAATGCAGACTGCCAATGTTTTCCCTTTTGTTTTAACTGAAATGGACCATGTCATATGTTTACAAAACTCCAAATCACTGGTAACAGTGACCTAGTCTCAATTTTATGGCGGACCACCACTCTAAATGTAATGATCAAATACTTCAGTTTTGTTACAGGTACAAAGTTTTGGGTTTTGTTTTAAATATTGATACAGTATAAGGTCTTTTGAATCCATTGACAAACAAATTACTCTTTGTATTTTAGGAATACTTCTTGATTCAGAAAGGAGGAAATCAGATGCCAGTCCAGCCATGTCACCTCTTAGGATCTCTCTTATCCAGGATATGAGGTTTGTTTGGGTTAATAAAAGAAAACCCAAACATCTCTTGTGTTTTTCTGCCTGTGTAAAAACCCAGTGAAGGAAGGAAGTTTCATTCTAAATGGTCCATATGATTTTGTTTTATCAATCTGTTCAAAAACAACAGCAAATCTTTGTCCTGTGCGAGGTGAAAGTATTGATGAAGTGTCTTTCATTCCATTTTCTTTCAAAATGGATATTGTATAGGAGAGGGAGTGCATTGTTTTTAATACGTACCTTAAGCTTACTTTGTGAAGACCAAATTTGGGATATAAAAGCCTTGCTTACTAACTTGATCTATTCCTGCTTTTGCGCTTGTTTCAATGGGAAGAAAAGCTGATTTGTGCAGCTGAAAAAGCGGTGTGCTTTGTCTGAAAGAAATTGCTAAATGATCTCATCAAAGCTTATAGTGAAACTGTTTAACTGACCCAAATGAAAACTTGCTTCATAGCAAGGTAATTTGTCTCTGATTTCTGGCACTTCTGTAACCATCATTGGCTTACAGCAGTAACCCGATACTTTTCATCCCCTCGTCTCTTCTGAGTTGTCTACAGTACTTGGAGCCTTATTTCTTTGGAAATAGAGGTAGTATCATGTTTGTCCAGTCATGCCAGAAATGTTTGGATAGTTCTGAATTGATCTCTGGCTGTTTGATGATAAATAAGTAGTAGCTCTTAAGGAAACGGTCTTAAAGAATGGATAGGCCTGATATTGGACTTTGTTTTTTACACAGTGTCAGAAAAATATGGAAAATGAAAACAAAACCCTAAAAAAAAAAAAAAAAAAAATCCCAAGCCAAACCGTAGATAATCATTATTCCTTTACTTGCAGTCTACCAGAGTTGAGAGACAATAGAGGAAATAACTTGCGTTCTGTTGTCATGTTTTGGTTTGGTTTGTTTGTTTGGATTTTTTTTTCATGTTGGCATATCCCTCGACTTTTCTGGGTCTGTGCTCCTATTTTTTTTAAACTGGTATATTCTTAGCAGAGAGGTAAGAAATGTATCAGCTGCAAAAGCCAACATGGAAAGCACACTGCCCAAATGACATTAATAGAATATTATGGAATGGATTCTTTGGCGATCCAGAGACTATTTTATAACTAATAAAACTAAGGATGTTTCAACAAATAAAACTTTAGGTTTTACTGACCTCTCTGTACTGGTAGATTGTCTGTAAATCCAAATTCTAACAGAGGAAGCTCTTTAATAAAGTTGTATGGTTTTGAGGGCTTTATTAAATGGTGCTTCTGTGACTGCTAATTTCTTTCTTTCTTTTGTTTATTTAAAAAAAAAAGTTTTTATTGGGGTTTTCTTTTAAGTTGTTTTTTCTTCCAGGTAACTTTTTTAGATTTTCAGTTCAGTTCAGAAACGATCTGAACACTTCAAAGAACATGAGCTTTCCTTCCAATATGTAACATGTCATTCTTATCTTGAAAAGTGTATGTGTATGCATGAGGACAGTACTTAATTTTTCAAAGCACTCAACCATAAAAACTGCAGATACAAGAGTTTGACTGAGCCTTAAATCATGTGCGTAATGGAGGCTGATCTAAGTCCTGTAAATAAGTCACTGCAGTGCAGGTGCTTTCTTTTCTCTCACTTGTTATTCCTCTTTAAACAGAGATAAAGAAATGTATGTATAATGAAGCATTCTCATTTATTGACTCCCCCCCTTTTTTTTTTTACAGCACTTACAAACTTACATTAATATATAGAAAAATTCTCAAGTTTAGCTTGACGTGTAGAAGAACCATGATGTAATGGAGTTATTAGTCAGCATCTCATTATTTGGTTTCTCATTTCAGGCATATTCAGAACATTGGTGAGATCAAAACAGATGTTGGTAAGGCCAGGGCCTGGGTTCGACTGTCCATGGAAAAGAAGTTACTCTCCCGGCATCTGAAGCAGCTTTTATCAGATCATGAGCTCACAAAGTAAGACCCATGTATTTTAAGTAGCACACTTGAAAATTAAACTAATTTCACAATTGTTCTGCTCTAAAAACACAGGCTTACCTATTCTTGTCAGTTTAGCAAAGTGGACAGGTTGTACTGTAGTAGAGTGAGCTAGTTCTGTCAAGCCTGGGTCTGATCTGGTGAATAAAGTAGGCTTGGTGGTGTCAGGGTCCTAGACTGGGACTATGGGGATCTAGGTTTAATTTTCAGTTTTGCCACAGACTGTTTATGTGACCTTAGGCAAGTTGCTCAAGCCAGCAGCTCCAGAAGTGACTAGTGATTTTTAGAGGGCTACTTGAATTCCGTGGAATTTAAGTATGTGGTGTTTGAGTGCTTTGCTGCATTGGGACCTCTGTGTCTCTGTCCTGCATCTGTAGTATTGAAAGGCCATTTTTCTCCTCATGGAATCTCAGTGAGTACATGTCTGTAGAGAGTGATCGAGGGGCAAAATGTACAGGGGAAGGTAGAACATAAATCTGGAGTAATTACATGTTTGTAACAATATCTTCCTTGAACATAATTTTTTTTAAATGGAGAAAGCAGTTTACTTGCACAGTCTAGTTTAGTGGCTATATACAACACCAATTAAAGAAAAGCTAATGGTAATATTCAGGAATAACAGACACCAGTGAAATCTGTGTGGCTTTATTAATCAGTATAATTTATTTAGGGAAAATGTTATGCTTTTGGGTGCTTGCAGCTGGGAGTTATGGTGCTGTGTTAAAGACCAGAGCTTAATGCATTAGTTCTTGATGTGTGGTCTGGCCTGGTTTGCTCATATCAAGGGTTAATTCATAAGTTGGAATACAGTAATTCATTCATTAGCTTTAAGTCGCATTAACCTGGAAACACTTATATTTTGTAGAAAAAGGGGCATGACAGAATTTTTTTTTTTAAAGCCAAAGTTCTAAAGCACTTGGCTGTTTCTCTAGGTAGTCTTCTAGGTATACACAAACATTCAAAATGGAAAGTGACATGAGATCAACTGCTTCTCCAGAAGTAGCATCAATTCTAGCTAATCCTTAATGCCTGACTATATATATTTAGATGCTTTAATCCTTCTCTGACGAGGGCATCTCGGGCATGGATTAGAAGCGTGGTAAGACTGTTTCTGCTCTTCAGGAGTGAATTTTAGAGGAAGGAAGGCTATGCTACATGCTTGCAAAGTATAATCATGCACTTAACATAATTCTCCACTAACTCCATGCACTTTCCAAGGCAACAGACTGGTGGGCATTCTAATTACCGGTCTTAAGGATTTGCTATATATAGTAGGCTTTCAGAGCACTAGTCACTCTGCAAAGGGAACAGAATAGGGTGGGGGAGCACCTGGCTCCATTTTCCCTCTGTAACAACTGCTGAGCAGCTGCTATCCTTTTATCTGATTTCTCTTAATAAAAAAGGGGGCCTATAAAATGGTAATGTCTCCTATCAAGAATAGGCCAATTAGTATACTATCAGTCCATTCTTGTCTTTGCTGCAATGCAAGTCCATGTAGAAAAATTCCAAGAACAGATGCTTTTATCCTCACCAATCTTGTGCAAGCCACTGCAATAAGCTCTGCAGCTTCTAGGAAACAGTGGTACCGTTTGGTTGGAAGACCAGAATGGTGGACAGTGAAACTAAGAAAGCCTTCAAGATGTTGGAGAATCTGAATTCTGGATGTAAGGTCCCAGAGGTAGAATTTGGAGATACTGTTTATCTCATTATACTTGTGTTCCTACTTTAGTAGCGTTAGAGCAGTGGTGGGCAATTATTTGGGCCTGTGGGCCACAAGGCATAGGCAACTGGTAGAGGGGGGGCCCCCTTGAGATTGGCCCCTGACTTGGCACCACTCAGGGCGGGGCAGTGTTTTTGCCATGCGGGCCAGTGGCACGTGCGAGAGGATGCTAAGCCATGGCACAGAAGTATATAGGAGTGGGTATGGGGCTTTTAGTCTGTCTGCGGGCCTGCCCACTAATTGTGCCCCTGTCCCAGACTCGGGAGGCACCAGTCACATCTGCCCTAAGGAGTTTTGTTGAGCTGTCCTGGGTCAGCAACAGCAGCCCTTGCCATGCAACAGCTCACCAAAACCGCCTGTGGGGGTGGGGAGTGGGTGTGTGGGGAGCAGTGTTCAGGAGTGGAACGAGCAAGCGAGGGCAGAGTTGTGGCGTGTTGACAGCATGGGTCTGGAGCAGAGCTGCATTATCTGTTGCCTGCAGAACGGGTTTTGCACTGGCCCTAGCCCCATGCTGTCACTGCCCCACAGCCCTAGGGTCTCCATGGAGACAAGCTAGGAGTTGTGTGGGCAGGAAGCTGTGTCCAGGGCTGGGGCCAGGATCTTGGGGTGGTGATGGTGTGGGGCCAGGGCTGAGCCATGGTCCATTCCTTGCATGCCCCTACCCATGGAACTGCATCAATTGCAAGCAGGCAGTGGATTGCGGATTGCAGCTCTGCCCCAGGGCCAGCTCTGTGCTGTCACTGCCTGAGATCCTGGGGTCTCCCCAGTCCCACCCACCTGTCTCACTCAAATACTGTTCCCTGCCTGCCTACAGCCCCATCCCAGCTACACACCCTGCCCATGCAAGTTTTGCCCCTGACAGTCAGTGCAGGGCAGACAAACTGGGGCGCTTGGCCTGTGCGGCTGGATCCAGCAGCTGTGGCATCTGGAAGGAGATGCCGCTACTGATGTCACTGGGGCTGCCAGGAAATAGTCTGGTCACTGCGCTGCCCCAGCCAAAGCCTTTCAGAAGGGACAAGGATTGTTACCACCTTTTCTGTATAGGAAGAATTCTGATAAATTCTCCTACATAGTTGTGTTGTGTATGTTAGCTGGATGGTTGCAGATGATGGACCCCCTTGGGATGATGATGCACTTTGCATAGGCTTAGGAAGAAGATGTTGCTGTGTAGTCTGGCTGGTTTTCTTTCTGGCTTTGTTATTGAGGTTCCCATAGGAGATCAGGAAACCAGGCATTCTGAGTAACAGAAATAAAAACATACTCAGAAATTGATTTGCAGGGTGGGGGGAGGAATACATCAAAAATTTTTAAGGTAAAGTAGAGAAGCAAATGTCTCTGACAGCACTGAGCCTCTTGAGTAATGCTGTATACACATGGTTAAATTGGACCAGGGAAACACGTGGGCATACTGACCTCTGAGGTACCTGTAGGTCTACTGGTCTTGTGGCTGTGGGCTAGTTGTCGCCACAACTACAACTAACAAGCAGGGGCCAACATTTTTGGCAGGTATGCCACAAATTAACCCCCTCCCTCTCAGATTGGGCAGGGGAAGAGGATTGGAGTGTCCATCTGCCCTGCTTTCTGTTCCCAGCCCAATTTGCTGCTTTGCGTTCTGCTTCCTGCCCTGTCTGCTGCTTAATTTGAAAGGCCTTTGACTTTCCCTGATAGACTCTGTTCCTCACGGGGGTTGTCCATGCCATAGGCTGGCCAACCCTGATCTAAAAGTATGAAGCTTTGTTCCAGAAACATTGTGAGACTCACTTGCTCAGGCTGTAATGTGAGGATATTGTATTAACTACATTGATTTTTTTTTGTAAACTTTTGGCTGACAATCCACTTTGCTGGTTTCTCTTATGTGCTGTCAGAGAGGCAAATTGTTCCTTCCAGGCAGACGTCCTAACGATCTGTCCCTGGCATGTTTGGCTGTGATAGTAGTTGTTACGCTGGTCTTAACATTTGGGCTGTTTAAAATATTCTTCTATCCTTAATTGTTTTGATGCATCTTTTCAAGTTTCTCTTAGGGGTGTTCATCAGTGCTGATCTCTTTGGTTGTGACACTTCATGGTAATAGCTGTTTTTGTTATGTGCCAGTAAGCTGCACTAGGTGAGAGTAGCATGTTCCAGTTAGCGTTTTGACTGGCAAAGTTCAAGATTGTAAATTTGTTTTGAAAAATTTTGTTCAGAGTCCCATGCAGGGTTTGGACTGGGGCTTTCCAAATAATGCAAATATGTCCACAGGATTTTTCCCCTTTGTCCACAATTGATTTATTATCTCCTAAGTTATGCTTAGAATCTCCTCAGTGCTGTAGACCCACTTACAACACTTCTTATTCCAGGGTTTGCAGTGGGGATCTTGCAGCTGTCTTCCACCAGGCCTGTGCTTTAGAACTTGTCCCCTTGCTAAATACGGGGCTTAAAGAGACACACTCTTCCTCACTCCAGCTTTTATTATATAGTATAAAAGTCGCAGGACCTTATCCAGTAAGGTAAAAGCCCTTTATCCACATACAGTAAATTAAAGTTTAATGTAAATTTGGAGGAATGCATACTATATATTAAGTTGTACTCTAAGCTTTCTAAGCAGTTGAGATGGGTAGTAATAGTGTAAATAACTGGAATAACACAACAGACAATTCAGATTGCCAGATGCATAGGTATCTTGCCTGATTTTAAATGCTCTTAGTACTACTCATATGACATGTCAATTGTACTTGCTTACATATAGAGTTCATGGTTTACTGGATAAATATGTATAATAAACAGTTCAGTAAAAGCATCTTGTTACTGTGACAGTTTTATTTATTTTCTTGTCAGAAAATTATACAAGCGTTATGCCTTCCTCCGCTGTGACGATGAGAAAGAACAATTCCTCTATCATCTCCTGTCTTTCAATGCTGTTGATTACTTCTGCTTTACCAATGTTTTCACAACCATCTGTAAGTAACACTTTTCCCTACAGCGCTGTTCACCAGATTCGGTTGCATGTCCTCATGAAAGTTGCTTAGCGGTTTTGATCCTTATGCTTTTTGCAAAGCTACATTAATTTCCTGTTAGTGTCCAGGTATGTTCTGTTTTACTCCCATTTTTTGATAACTTGTCTAATTAGTGGCAGTGTCTATTTCTGTATCACTGAAGGCGTTTTTCCCATCGGTAACGTGAGCATTGTGATTAATAGCGTATGTATGTGAAATAAGCAACACTATTTAGAGCTCTGTTTGCTGTTTTGTAGTATGTAATACTTGTCACTGCTCAGTAAATGAATTGCAGAACAGTTTCACTTAGCCAGATCCTTGGCTGAGGTGCATTATTTGTTTGGTCTTGATGAAAAATGGCTTAATACAACATATCAAAACCAAGTTCTTGCCTGGAATGCTGTAGAATAAGTGACAATTTATCAGCAACAATACAACAAGGAAAAAATGAAAAGGAAAAGATTTTAATTTGAAAGGTCCTGGACATGAGGCTTTTAAGAAAATCTAGTCATCAAACACTTTCTTGAGGCCACTGTCAGATGAGAAGATGTTGAGAGGGATCAGTGTCTTAAAAGCTTCAGCTGAAAAGCTTTAACAGTAACCCATTTATACACTATAAAGCAAGGGCTAATTGCCAGAGAACACAATGATGATTCAAATAATTGGATTTTATATAAAAGTAAATTGGTTAATAGCAGACTATGCATGAGAGTTATTTAGTGGCATGATGTTGGCTAGTTCAACAGCACTTAGTTTCTCAATGCTTCCTGATTCAGAGCAGGGGTCATATCTCAGGTGAGTGTCAAGTGAGTTGCTCAGTTTCTCTGTTCATTAGTGGAACAGTAAGAAGATAAGCATTTGCCCAAGCCTGGCGGCATCTCATACCAATTTTATATGAATTTCAGTATTCAAATAAACAGTTAAAGCATATTGTATTGTGACGGTCACAGTGCTCTAGTCCAGAATTGGCCATCCACAGTATTTATCTGTCTCACAGAAAATAATGTTGGAAGGGAATGTGATAAGTCAACTCATCCAACAGTGCTGCCTCGACACAGGACCAAAGACATCCTGTTTAACATTTTCGTAAAAATTCTTTAAGGGTTTCTTAAAAATCCTTACAGTACAAGTGATTTTCCCTAAATCTCCTTTACTGCATTCAGTCTGTTACTATTTATCCTATCCTAAGTGGGCATGGACATTAGCTTTTTTTTTTGAAACAGCTGTTGACATACTTGAAAACAGTTTTCAACTCCCCTCACTCTTATTAAATGAAAATCAGTTAATTATGTTTATTAAATAATATTAAATTCAATGTGTGTTCTATATCACTAGTTCAAAAACTCAGATGTAATTTGAGCATATATAAATTAATATATGTGACAGTGTCTCATTTACACAATAAAAATAAGCAGGCACAGAGAGTCAGATGATTAAATTTTATTGTCAGCTCTTTTTTATGCTGCTTGCAGACATGGAAAAAAAATAAACAAATAGTGCTTCACCAGAAAAGGAAATGCATTAGTTGGACCCAGCTCTGTAGCATCTGTATCAAACAGCTATTAGATAAAAATGCCAAAAAGCCCCATTGAAGCATCCGATCTCTACAGACGATGCGGAGCCAGGTCAAACTAACGCAATGCCTCTTTTTGTCATTTGATGGCAGATTATATTACTGGTACGTTAATGTTTTCTCATTGTTTAAACACAAAAGGTTTAACTTACCACATCTAAAAATGGCATTGTGTAAATTATTTCCTTTAAGTAAGCTGCTGCTTTTATTTGCAGTGATCCCCTACCATATCTTGATTGTTCCTAGTAAGAAACTTGGTGGCTCAATGTTCACAGCCAACCCTTGGATATGTATCTCTGGAGAACTGGGCGAAACAGGAGTCTTGCAAATTCCCAGAAATATCTTAGAAATGACATTTGAGGTTTGTATTGTTGATACATTTGCAAATGTTCTGTTTCTGCAATGTTTAGTCATACCTGTCACATTAGTGACAGGCACAAATGTTGTCTATAGATGTATTCAGCAGATTTTCTCTGTATTTGTGTTAAGTCCAGATGTAAGGCAAATGAGATCTCTCTCAAGTTGTCCCAGTCTTTTTCATCCTCCTCTGACTTTTTTTTCCCTTTGTTGGGGCCACATTTGAAAACTGACTTGCTTGTTCTATTGTAGACAAGCTCTTTCTGTTTTTAATGATCTGCCATTATTTTTCCTGGTTATTGGAGCACCAGATATCCTAGTTGCTTCTGTCTAGCATTCTAAAAGATTCTGGAGGTTCCTTGCTGAGTTGGGTTCCCATACTATGAGTGAGGGAACAAGCCCTCCCTTTTCTGGGGCCACTGATCCAAAGAAAAGAGCTTTATGAAAGCCTTGGGAGTTGCCTCTTCTTCAAAGTGTGTTCCAAATATTAATAGTTTGCTACTATCTAATAGTGTGCTGTTGTCCTCAATATGGTAACATGTAGAAATACTAGGTGGAATTTCTGCTTCAGTGTACTAAATGTCATACAAACACATGGTGATAGACAGTATCTGTCCAAAGGCCTTGACGTTTATGGTATGGACAAGACTAAAGGAAACAGGAAGAAGTGAAGAACCAGTTTTTATTTGAGGATAGCGGTATAAAACGCTGCCTTCACCCAAATAATGGAGGAGGAACCACGTCCCCTAAGTATGGAGCACAAGTCGTGAAGGCTGCTGCTTCGTTTACTTTATGTACTTGCATCATCTGTTACTGTACATAGCACAAATCTGGACAGCTGTTTAGTATGTGCTCCCTCTGCTGGTTAAGGGAGCCCGCGCTGCCCCCCCCCCCCCCCCCCCCCCC